GGGGGGGGGTACATCATCGTTATTAAACTACTTAACAAAGATACACTGTCCCTTGAACTTTCCACAATCATTTAGCGCGGGCTGGAGTAACCTCGAGCTCAACCGCCGTATACCAGTCTGAAGAAGGAGGATGATCCTTGGAACCCAAAGCAAGAGTAAGCCCATCCAGATTCCCATTCTTCGCCAAGTAAAACTGTGTAAAATCACCTCCCAAGTCATTACACGCCATCTGACCATTATTCATATCAAACCCGCATGACCTCGCCGGCACAGAACACTCAAGACCGCGAACATCAGTCTGTTCACAGGTGAGAAGTCCCCAGAGCCCGTTGCGTAGATTGTCCTTGTCGCAGAGCCGGAGGTCGCCTGGTGAGTAGGGCGAGCCGTATTCTATACACCAATACATGCCTTCAACTTCGCGGGCGAAGGATGTCTCTGCCTCGATGGAGAATGTGAGGGTTGGGAGGTTGGCGCTGGGTTCGAGATCGAAACCCATTCGTTGGGAGGTGGATTTTCGACCGATTAGGTGTTCATCTTGGAAGTTGTGGCCTGGAGCGATGACTTGGAATGTTTCTAGGGATTGAGCGGCGGTTGTAGTCATTTCGGCGAGGGTTGTTGTTTCGGTGGTGGTTTCGTGTTCGGAAATTGACGTCGCGACACTCGTGGGAAACTCAGTGGTGGTAGTGGTGACTTCGACACCTGAAGTCGCGATGGTTGTAGCTGAGGTTGTATCACCAGTCGTCTCAAGCTCTGTACTTGTAGGAGAACTGGGCACAGCAGCAGTCGAGGTCGTAACCTCTACGGACACAACACCTAAACCCAGTCAACACTGATTGCCAGTCAATTGAAGGAAGTCGATTTATTTACTGGTATCACTCGACTGACGAGGTTTACAAACACTCGCAATGGCAGTGTTAGCCCCAAGGGCGATTGAACATAAAAGAGCGAAACGCATGTTAGCAACGATAAATAACGAGCGACAGCTGCTAAAACAGGCGAAAAAGAGCGACTGAATGTTTGAGGTTCAACTGAGTGCGATTGCGAGTATTCATATTGATCTATTTGTTTATATTGACTGCAGAATAGGGGACTGAACTATTGACTGTCGCTCGGAGCTAGAAGTGGTTTTGGCAGGGCTGAAGTGTCGACTATTGAACGCTAGCTGATGACTATTGGTAGAGGTGTGAAACAATTAAATCTGATCTGAAGATCTTGGAGTCGACGCCTAGATTTATGATTAATTGATGCTTCATTGCGTGATAGTCGTGCATGTGATCAAGATGTTGAGTTTGATGGAGCAACAGGAGCTAATAATGTCGTGACATGCCAGAGAGTTGAACTGAGAGGTGCACCTAAAGTTGACTTGAGAGATACTCCATAAAAGAAGCGATCTGGCCAATTAGATAGCTTGATTATACCTTTCAGTGAGGTTAGTTTTAGCGCTGACAGGGGCACCTCTCATTTCATCTCACAACGATTGGAGATGCCATCTCATGATTATGATGTAGATGCCGATTCAGAACGGACACTGTCGTAGTTCATCACGATCAATTACTTGTTCGTCAAAGATTCAGATTAAATATCTGATCAGATTGTTCGATGTGTACTACCTCAGTTTCCTGATCTTGACATGTCACTACTGAACTGATGTAGCCAAGCAAACGTAACTTACCGCAATCAGGAACATTCAGAGATCAAACCAGCTGTCAAATGCTTATTCTTTGTACTAGTTTCTCACAATCATCAAGATGAATTGACTTTGTCAAACAGTCTCGATGGATCTACAGCTACCAGCGCCACGAAAGGTGACGCCACAGCTATTAATGGTTGACTTTCGGGGTCGCCATTAAGAGGTATGCATTCAGTATATTGAAGTCTGTAGAAGGTATGTTGCAATATATTGAAGTCTGAAAGGCATGTTGTAGTATTATTGCTGAGGCGCAGTGGAGTTGTTATTCATGATAGTGGTCAATTTAGTTTAGCATGTCACTCAACTCAATGACATGCCATCCCTTGCATCTCATCACATCTCTCACTTGCAGGTAAGCCACACCGCTTGATTACTCACCTTTGTTTCTTTCCCATCACCTATCAGAATGGCGTTTGAGTTATGAGATGCTGCTAAAAAGGGACTCTCCGCCCAAGTGGATCCAAGGGTCTTTCGGGGCGAGCGGCATGTCTTACTTTCCCTTCAGCCTTGTAAACTTGGCTTGTGACAGTGACTCAATCGACCTTTTGATCATTCATCAACCGGCTACAGCGGATGCATCTCTTTCTTATCAGTATCAAGACTAAAGAGTGAATGACTGATGCTCGTCATTGTGAATTCATTTTCGCAATCAGTCATCTACTCCAAAGCTTATCATGTTGATGTCTTATCACAATCCCTGTCTTGTCTTGGCCTTGTTAGTCCTTGTGACACCCTCTTCTACAATCAATTCTCTGGCTTGACTTGAGGCTTGCAAGCCTGATCCGGATTCCCACACTCACTTTTTGCTTTTTGGGTTGGGTTGAGGCTTGGCTAGTTCTGGGATGCAGATCATGAGCTAGTGCCAGTGACACGCGCCCTCTCTACCACCCAAGCACCAAGCAACGAGAAGTGATACATGAAATACCCTGTTTATTTACACTGATTGGGGTGGGAGTACGTACTCAACTGCCGAGATGATGCTTTATGCAGAGTCGATCATTGATGTCGTCGTCGTCGTCGTCTACGTAGTATTCCTCTCCGATCAAGTCCTGATCTACCACCAAGATGTACATAGTATGCAGCTCTATCTCATGTGACTCAATGTTCAATACCACCCCTCCAACATGTCAACTTGGCAAAAACATTGCATTCACACAAAAAAAGAGGCGTTCTCCCGCTGACTTCTTCCCAAGCCCCCCTCCAGTCTAACATTAGTTTCCCTCCCCATCGGTAGTCGCCGTTTGGGCACATATAATGAATGACATTCTCTCCCAAAAAAAAAACAGGGATCCACGTTCTGACTTGCTTTGTTTCTGTCTGTACCTGATTATTACGCTTTGATCAACTTTTATAAGCAGGGTTCTGCCTGTCATATTGGGCCCCCACTACCAAAAGACAACTCATCAACCTAAATCGCCCTGCCATTATTTACAAGAAAAAGAAAGAAAAAAACAATTACAAAAAAGGAGATACGCATTTGAACTGAGACAGGGTATTCAAGGAATTGATATAAACCTCGTCTCATCTCTCAACTTCAACTTCATCTTCAACTCAACACAACACAACACAACACACAACACAACACAACTCAACTCAACTTAACCACTTACACAATGTATCGTCAAAACCACCCCGGTCCTCTCTCCCTACCTACAACCTGGAGTCCTCCCACAGACGACATGCCCAATAAATCCCACGACGAGCGAAGCCGCCAAGCAAGCACCTGCTCTGAACACAGCTGCGAAGGCATGACACTCGACGAAACAAGAGAACTATGGAGATGCATGCTCGAACTTCAACTTCGCTACGGATGTTATAATTCCACGAGGATAGATATGGCTGTTGACGCCGGTGAATCCGGTCTTGACCTGATGCGTACGTCTCCCTTCTCTCTCACGCATCTCTTACACCTTATTAACGATTCTCTTCTTTTAGCAAACCGGTTCATCATCGATACTCTAAACGAGTCCGTTATTAACCTTCCCGATGAAGGCCGCGAATTACTTAACCGCTACTTATGTCCTTCTTCACCAAACAATAAGCAAAAGTGGAAATTCTGGAAGAAGGAATAATAATATTTTCTTTTGTTCGTGTATTCTTTTTAATGGCGTTGGGAAGGAAAGGAAAGCGGGTTAAAAAATGGCATGAAGCATATTGATCGATACCCACGATATCAGAATGGCATTGATTTACTCTTATTTTTTAATTATCAAATAACAAACATATTATCTCAAACTTATTCTCCAATCATGCTCTCAAAGTCGTCTCCTTGTCTGATAGATTTGGCCTGGATCTTCATACTCTCCAGAACCCTCTCTTTGACATCTTGATGCTCAATGTCCATCTCCGTGAATCCACCATGCGTAGCAGTAAACTCAACACCCTTCAAAGCACGCCACATTCTCACCATCTCATCAACACCAAGAGGAATAAAATTCGGAATACTCCAAAGGAACGAAAACGAGTTCAATCCCGGTGGTCGAGCCGCACGCTTTGCCCCAGTAGCATCAACATCCCAATTCCCCACGCCCGACGCAGTCGTCATGAGCGTATCAGCAATGAAGAGACGAGACTTGTAATGCAGGACCAAAGAACCGGGGAAGTGGCCGCCTAGCTTGATAGCGGTAGCACCCGTGTCAAGGATCGGCGTCGACGACTCGGTGAGAGCAACCTGATGCTCCGACTCAAACGTAGTCCAGGATTTATCTTCCGCCGCGATATACACAGGACAAGCAAACGCTCTCGCCCATTGAACATGAGTGCTGTAAAAGTGCGGATGACTTATAACAATTGCCCTCGATCCTCCCTTTTCTTTAATTTTTAGGATAGTCTCATCATCCAGTAGGGTAATACAATCCCAGAGGATGTTACCCTTGGGGGTTTGGATGAGAATAGCGCGTTGACCGATGGCTAGTTTGGGAATAGAGTGGATAAAGGTGATATTCGGATCCGACGGGCATCCGATCCATTCGTTCTTGAAGTGTTTCTTGAGTTCACCAAGAGTAGAAAAGGATTGACCTGAGGGCGGGACGAATTGGCGAGGATCGTCGCAGATGTGACATGTTTTCAGGGTGGAGCGATCAGCGGTAGGGAATTGAGTGCCGCATGTGTCGCAGACAAGCCATGAGTCTGCTTTGACGGGGTCGTATTGTTCTGGAGTCATGATGAGAAGAGGACTAGCTTGCGATTGAAGAGTTGACTGTTGATCTTGGGTGAATTGAGTACCTGTTCTGTTCTTTTGTATTTAACAAACCTCTGCACTCAAGTCTGGATGACAGCTGAATTTGTGTTTGCTCTCCACCATTAATTGACGTCATTCCCCGCGTTTGACGATAGCTTCAGTTTCACAGCTTACCAAGCAGGACCTTTTGTACAGACAACGTGGCTCTTTAAACTGATTCCACATCACCTTCTTTTAAATGATTCCACATCATCGTATATCGTATTCCCGGTATCGGAAAGACACCACTGCTATTACATGCACAAAAACTCCAAACACCAAAATACTAACCCAAACATCATAACCCATAGCCCATTTTATAATCACAACGCCTCCCACATCTGACTCCCCATAGAAATCAACCTGTTAAATAATTGATCCCGCATAGACACAGCCGTGAGATGATGCTCCTGTCCATCCTTGGTCTTGATGATCAATCCATCCACAATCTCACTACCCATCGCCCATCCAACAATGATCTTGCTCTTCCACCCAAGACCGCCCATCTTCTTCAACTCATCAATCTCCCCAATTGATACCGTCCAGGCGGGTTTCAGGTCTTCAAGCTCAATCGTCCAGCTAACAGCAGGTGTAGTAGCCGTAGCTGTGATGTATGCATGGCCCTTCTTACCCTTGTATCGCGCTGGGAAACGGATGGGTCCAGTGATGGGATTGGGTTGTTCACCTTTGACGACACCCAGACGGTTCTTTGCGTGATGAGCGCCTGCTTTGGCCTTGGCCTTGTCCGCAGCCAAAGCTGTTGTGACGCCGCCCTTGGCAGTAGTTCGGATAAAATTCATAATACGATGCGATTTCTTATGTTTGCTCTTTTCTTCGTCGTGTTCTTCATCTTCGTTAAGTATGTTGGGGTCGGGCTGAACAGCCGCGGCAATCTCGGCCTGCGATACTCCTTCTGATGGTGTTAGCATGGGTCGCATACATTCAATTAGTCACTACACACCTAGATGTTCAAGACCTTCTCCAGCAGTCTCGTGGGGTTCAGTTGGAGGAGGGACGTCGGAAGTGGGCGGCGGAGGCAGAGGAGCCTTGTTCTTCTCCCCAATACGGAGAAGAGTGATGGCCAACTGCGCATTGGTCGGGACACCTCGAAGAATGGTGTTTCGGAGTTCAACATACTTCTCCCAACGAGGATAGGTTCTGTTGATAAAGTTCAAAGAAGGTGTAATGATGGGATCGCCGAAGAATCCAAAGCCAGCGCCGAATCCCATGCCCTTCATGGCCATGTACGGAGATGTGAAATAAGATCCGAGAAGCATTGGCACGAGAACAGCAATGAGGATAAGCTTGGGTCGATGACAGTGGAAAGGTGCAGCGGGACTAAGAGCGTTTCCGAAGCGCTCCCAGGTATCGACAAAGTCAGCGATCATATGCATCGTCGGACGAGCCTTGTCCCAGACAGCGTTGGACACTGGCTTCTTGGCCCTGTTGTGTTCAGCTTTGGGATTCTCTCCCACAGACTTTTGTCGAGCCTCGGTGGCTTCTTCAGTGAGCTTGGTTGGGTCTGGAGCAGCGCTGTCGTCGTCGGGGTCCGTCTGGGGGTGCTTTCCAGCAGCAGTGCTAACAACAATCTTCTCCCATCAGTCTCTTTCCATCAAGTCAAAAGCAAGGCAATAAATACATACACCGGAACATACCGTAGAAAGGCTCGTCACAAAGCTGTGAGCTTCCTGTTCAACTGCTTCTCCCTTGTGCTTCTCGGGCGCGCCAGTAACTGAGTCATCAGAAGCGAGTACACCAGCAGCTGGGGTCTTGACTCCACCCGTCTTGGGATCAATAAGTGATGGTGGTGCGCCAGGGAAACAGATATCGCGAGCCTCGGGAGACCAGATGAGGATCATGAGGAAGATGATAAGGATCGGGCCAAGAATGTCGAGCAACCATGCCAGAGTATACACTCCCAGGAAAGCAGAAGTTCGCCTAGTCTCCTTCCACGACCTAAGACGAACGATCTGTTTGTAAAAGGCAAACAGCTGCACCATAACAGACACGTAAAGCCGCTCAATCTGCGCTCTAAGCTTCTCTGGCGAAAACTCTTCGTCGTCTGCAATGTTCATATCCAACATTCCCAGCGGAGGTTCCTGGATACTCTTGACGTAAAAGACCTGCTTGTCGAAGCGTCGAAGCAAAGTCCACACATCTTCATTCTTTAGTCCTCCCACGAGGTGCGGTACAGCTTGAGGCGGCTCGTTCCATCCCAGGTTCTTGACCTCGACATCTCCATGTTCGAGCTGCGCTGCGCCTTTCTCTTCAAAGTTCTTGCTCTCTTCGGCGAGGGCGTGGCTGACAGTGGGAGCTTCTTCTTGGTGTTCTTCGATGATTTCGGGTTCACTTCCTACACCTGTCGAGAACCGACGGTTAGGATCGTCGGATGCTGTAGCCATGGTTGTTTCCTTGTGGTAGGTAGAGCTGGGTTGGGTTGAACGAAAGACTCACGATGGGAGTTGTCTTCTCATATCTTGCCAAGAGGTAGACACTGACGTTTGACAGGCTGGAATTGGAATGGAAATAACCCCGCCGCCTACGTCAAAAATGACAGGGAAGGAAGTATCATGACATCTAATCTCGAATTGTGACGTCATGAATCTCAGCTCCAAGACGATCACAAGCATCAACCAAGGATACACGCACACGCATACATACACACACAAGACAACGTTAGTACTAATACAAGACAACTCTACTGAAAGCAATACGATATTCCCGAAAATGGAAACAGAAAAGACGCGCAAACACAGCCTCCATCCTTGGCATTCAGCTGTCACCTCACGTCATGACACCCACAGATGGCACCCACCGTTATCATCCCCATTGATCTAGATCTAGGATGCAGTGAATATCCTTCACTGTATTTGTCCTCACAACCCTGTTTTTTTTCTGCTTTTGTCTTTATCTTACTGCACAGAATTAACCTGGTTCAATGAGGCTCTCAAATCAAGGATTGCGTCGATCCCGAGTGCAACCTCCGGAGTGGGGCCGATTGCCGATATTACGATCCGGACCACACCATCCGGGGTGTGTCAGCCAGATCATCTTGATTCGATGTTTACTCATATCGATGAGTTTCAGCTTTTTTTTCAATGATACTCTGATGAAACCTTTTGTCGTCTTTGTATTACCAGAAGAGTCCATCTGAGGTGGTGTTCAGCTTATGAGTGATGCTGAGGCTTGGACAGTGAGATTGCCGTTTATATGAGGGACACATCATATCTCCCTAAAGTCGAGAGACTTAAGACTTTTCCTGTGATACTACTTGGCTATCCCTTTACTCAAGGCTTTCCACAATCTTGTCTCTGGGAAAAGACAAGTGTCTGTGTTCCTTCCAACAGTCCAACATCGACAAGATGAGAATAACAGCCAGAGCGATACGTCAACCTTTTATGTCCCTCATCAAAGACGTATATGTTTGAAATGCTCGGCATCTTTGCGACCAGTGAAGGCAGCTTGGTGGCAGATAGACCATCTCCAGGACGAAGGCTGTTGAAGCATCATGACCTAAGGCTCAACTAGACGACACGCATACACCACATACCGTCGAACTATCTAAACATTATGCATGTGGGTTAGACTCAAAATTTTCGCCTTTGGGTGCAGCGCTCTTTCAGCTACTCTTTATCAACATATCGCTCCTGGCTAAGGCCGGTTCATACATACCAAGTGTGGTGCGAATCCATCGCGAGACACCAAACATGAATCTGGGAAGAAGGCATTTTCATTAGGTGCTTTAATTCCTCTCTACCGGTCGATACTTTTGTACGTCATAGTGATCAAAGTGAATGTTATCCGCGACGTTTCGTTGTCGAAGAAAAGACCACTTGCTATGAGCTTCATACCAACGACCCCACGACACACACCTTGAGAGTTCCCAACAGTTACATTTTAACGATTCAAATCGATCAAGAGCTACTTCGAGACTTACTAACATGTTTCTAAACCGAGGAGATATCATTCCCAACACCACGAACGCGCAGTGTCGCTCGAGACGATGATAGCCAGCACCAACTTGGTTACCCTATACCACTAACGACCAAAGTTCGGCAATGGTATGAAGCAAATCTGCGAAGCCAGAACACGGAGCACAAAGACGTTACGTACTGAACCCAATTGAACATGGTCAATTGCGACATGCTACAAGCCCTTTACTCGAACGAAGCAACCTTCTCACTTGCACATCATAGAGCACTGGCCTCAATTATCCCATCATGAATCACCAATACAGCATTCAGCCCAATACAACACATCGAAGAAATACAACCGCGTCGCTCACCATCGTATCCAGAATCCCAATGGGATTGGTCAATTAAGTCATAATGAGGCCTCGTTCCTACCACGGCGGTAATCTTGACTTGATCCCGCAATCACCTCATCCACCTTCCGCGACTGGCAACACCACGTAGGAGCAACCCCCTGTGTGATATCTCTTCCCGCACATACATACCAATCAAATATACATCCTACATGTGTACAGCGCGAGGCCAGCGGAATATGCAGGAACATACATGCCCCGGAAACCGGTCAAGTCTTTTCGACTGACCGGGCTATCAAATCTGACAGAACACGCCATACCATTAAACTTGGCACCACGAGATAGCCTCGCTCCAAGGAATGCTGAGTTTTGCTACTATCGTGGCCACCTCTGAGCGATTGATCGATTCCCCCACGCTCAAATCTTGGATATCGGTCTGCGTTTTGGTAGCCTTGGACTACACTCGACGAATGAGCGTCCGCCACAACGCGCTGGCCACTAATTAAGCCAGGGCCTCTCTTCTCACATGAACAACTTGGAAAGAGTCGGGCGCGAAAAGATTTTTGCCTCTGATAACCAACAGAGAAAAGCAATGCGGCAGCAGTGTGATGCACAGGCAAGGGGGGGTACTATCTGTATAGTTGCAAGCAAATGACGCTTGTGAACGACGCCCAACGGTACTTCGCAGTATCGACAGATTAAAGCGTCTCAGCCGCGGTTACAGGTGCCGTACTGTACTTGCAATCTGACTTGCAGATCTCAACGCCACGCCATCCATGTTGGTGCGGAATACCTCCACGTGCACTGGCCGAGGTGAATTGTTTCATCCAAATTGTTCTCTGGTGAGAGTTCAGACGGTTATAAGCCACTTGACCAGGGGCGAAATTGAGGCTGCAGTGCGGTTGGCGCAAGGAGCAAGTGTTGGCTGTGCAATTACTACCTCCTCGCAGCCCAAGAGAAATTGCAACACTGCGGTTCATGGCCCGAAGGAAGCATACAAGCATCAGTCAAAGGATATATGTCCTGCAATAACAGTAGCGATATAGGCGAATCCCATGCATTGCGACGTTCATTGCCGAGAGTCCCGAGAAGCAAAGGATCCTTTCTGGAAGTCCATGAGCAGAATTTCGCTTAGAAAGAAACCCGACATCGCGTAGTAGCCTTGGTAGGCGAAGCCGGAGCGCGATGAGACACACACACACACACACACACACACACAGCCAAGACCCTTGTCACGATCGTCAGGAACACGACACCACCACTCCGGACCCCGTGTTCCGCCGACCGCGGTCTTCTTGTTTAGGTATAGCCAGGGCCAATTCCTCGAGACATTATCGAGAAGGAACAGCCACCGTTGAGAATAAAAAAGAAGGTTTATGGTGTTGAGACATTATCGATCAGCCACTTGCCACCATCATAGAGTAGGAGTAGAAAAGTCTGGGCAGACAAGGTGATCCCTTCTTACTTGTTTGCATATCGACTGATCTTCTCCCCACGATGCATCGCAGCACATCATCGTCTACGGATACACTCGGAGCCGCTGCACCCAAGACCAGCGGCGTGGGTCCGGATGTATGTAAGACTCTCTTTAAAGAAAAAGGAAAGCTGCTGAAAATTCTGACTTGACCACGGTGGAGATGCATGTGGATGGCCTGTCGTCAGCGTTCCTGCTGGCTGTTCCTGGAAGTAGATAGTTATGCATTCTACATTTTACATTTTGTCATATTTTGTCATTTCGATCCAACTGCATTTTGTTGAATGCAATCCATATTACCACCCAGAACTGTGGTTATGTAGGAATCTGACCGGCTGCATCTCAGACATGAAAAGAAAGCTTAACTTATAACGCGGAAGAGACATCCTAGCTTTCCGTAAAGAGAATGTGACGTGCATCTGATGTTGAACTACATCTTAAATCACGATTGGCTTCAGGTACGCGAGAAGGAACAAATGTTACAGTCAACAATTCATGAGGCTCATGCAGCTTGGACTCTGATGTAAAGAATTGTGCGCTTTTAATGGGTAACATCGGTTGCCGTTGAGTTTTGTCGATGTAACCACACGCAGTAATTGAGGCCCCAATTGCCCAATGGACTTTAATCGCCACCAGGAACGGAAAAAGATGATGAGATCGAGAAAGTTAATTGCAATAAGCTGCATAAATTACGGGTTGTATGTATCTCTCTCTGGTTGTGTTATACATCATGTTGAGTATTGTATACCTACCCTACGTGACTCTTTAATGTAAACAAAGCTCAGTGACTTCAAAGCTCAGGAATGAAAATCCAAGTCGCAGCCGCAACCGTTGAATCAATTACCGTAAATGGTCTGTGTGTTTAATACTTCTACATCCATCCATGTTGATTCTAGCATAAAAGCCACGATCGATGGACTAAACTTTGTTGCCAGCCAATTAATCCTACAAAAGTAAACAACGGCCGCAAGACAAACATATCAAGAGTCAATTAACTCGTCAATCTAAGAAAGAAAGTAAATCTACCAATGCTTTGTTTTACATCGTTAATCTCGATTAAAAGTATGTCTTTGCAACGAGAGACTGAGTGTTGGCATTCATAAAGAGCATGCAGATTTAGCATTGCACCAGTAAGCGTCCCTGCCGAAGCCGCAGCCGAAGCCACCCTTCATTAGAAAAACACAAAATTTCATTATTTTAGTAACGAAAGACAAACAAAGAGCAAATTGTAAATCATGATGATGACGATGACGGCATTTGGTGGATTTTTCGAGTAAAGCTATTTTCCTTGTTTGTTAAGAGATCACCACAGGCATTTCTTCATAGATGCCTTGCGACCAAGGCAACAAGTATCTGTGGGTCAAGTACCAAGTTGCTAAAAGACTCTGCAAGGGAGATGGATTGACCAATGAAGAGAGCCTAGTTGACAAAGACTGCTTTTCAACAATGAGATATAATAGAAAATAATTGTGCATCTCTTATTAGCCCTCAAAGTTGATGGCTGGTGGAGGGTCGGATAAACTGAATTGAGTTTGTGCGGGCGTAAGTGAGTGCATTCAGAAGTCCTGAATGGCATCTGGGGTAGTCAGAGTTGTTGACTTTGAACTTCAGGTGTTCCTCATAGAGGTGTAGTTTGTTATGGGTCAAGATAACAAATGTTACGG